TGGAATGGCTACTGCCGTAGAAGTTCCTTATTGCTACCAGTATTTGCAAATTCCGGACGCCCTTTTCCGCTGCGATTGGAGGCTGATTTTCCTCTGCCACTTTTTGAGGTTGGTTGATGCGTTGGTTAAAAATTGTTGCTTTTGAGGTTACTGATTCTTTTTTTTTTTAAGGCAATGTTTGGAATTATAATAACGTTTTTTTTATAAATTTCTTTTGGCTTGAAAATATTATAGAATGATATTTTTTTGTTTTTTATAATTTATTTATTATATCATTATATAAAATATATATATATTTTAAAGCAAAAACAAAAATAATTTTTTTCAAAAATGTGGTTAGGAACAATATGAAAGAGTTGAATATGAAGGAACAACAACCTTATCTTGATGAGGATACTTTCTTTGAATCCGGATAATGCCCACCATTTACATGTTGTCTTTAAGAAGACCATCACTAGATTAATCAGAGATCCTTTAAAATCAGGTAAAAAATCTACTTATATTTATATTTATATTTACTTAACGAATATAACTTGTCCTTAGAATTATATATACCACTTGTAATTTGCATCAAGAAAAACCTGTCATGCTAATCTTGTATTGCAAGATCCTGAACTGAAATCATAAATTTCATAAAATTCCTATCTTTTTAATAATTTGGGCAAGAATTTGAGCTGGCATAGTTAGCTGAAGAAAACTGTCTAAGAATTTATGCTTGTAAATTACCACACATTACAAAGGTGAATCACATGATAAATGACCTGGAAAAATTTCTACCCATCTTAAAGTACGTTGATGAGACTATCTTTGAGAGAAAATATGGAAGGATTGTGAAGCTAATGAGACTACCACTACATACAGAATCTCTAAATGCTCTATTGAACTTTTTAGGATCCTAATTATAATTATAAGTGTTTTACCTTTAGGAATATTCATATGACACCTATATTGGAGGAATACGACATGATCTTGGATTTTCCGAATAATAGCCATAAGATCTATTTCAAACAAATATTTAAAAATACAACATTAGAGGTAGTCAGATTGTTGTGCTTGGGAAAAATCAGCCAGTATAGGGTAGCTGATGGAGGATTTAGATGGAAGGCCATCGAAGCCAGGATGAAGAAGAATGATGAGGAAGGAAAACTAGGAAATGAACGGTACAAACAAGTAACTTTCGCTATATTTGGTCTATATTCAGTCTAGTTCTCTTTCCATCTGAAAATGAGGACATTAGTCTAAGCTACAAATGCATTTATGGAATATGAGCATTTCCAAATTAACCCTTTCATAGCAATTTTGGCAGAAACATTGCTATCACTCAATCATCATAACACGCACGGGAAAAGAGCTTTCAGGTGTTGTATTCCTTTGATGTATTTATGGATTGTCAATCACATCAAAACATCAATAAATATTTTAATATTTTTTAGTGGTTTGATTTTTTATTATCGGAGATCGTAACAGATGAGAGTTAGAATAATTTGAATGTGAATTTTTTTAATTTTTTTTAATTTTTAATATTTTTATGATTTTATTCTCGATTTTAACAAACTTATTTTATAAAAATTAAACTTGGTATCCTCAAATTTTAATCTCTTTAATTAACCTCGAATCAGGTTTTCAAACTTAATTTTTCACCAATTAAATTCCTAATAAAATTAATTTGATTCATTTCAAGAATAATTAAGTCCTTACACTTAATTAAGTCTTTTAATTAGACTTAAATTAATCTTAAACATAATTAAATTTTTAATTTGATCCATAATTAAATTAAATTGACATATTAAAAATATAATTATGCCCTTAGACTTAATTGTTTATGCAGATTTGTCTAATAATTATTTTTTTAACTTTGAATCTACATTTTTTTCTTTAGTCTTGGACATAATGGGATACAATTAGACTTCTAATATTATCCAAAATTAGAACTTGATTTTTCACAAAATTTGAAATCTTCCCATCTTTCTTTGTGAAAACACTAGTCTCCTTGTTATTATTATTTTATTTTTTTGTTTTTATTTTGAAAAGAAAAATAGGTAAATTTAGAAATAACCTAGAAAAGGTTATGATAAGTATGTTTGCGTATAAATATTTTTTTTAACTTAAATTAAAAAATTGTTACAAAATGGAGTCAAAATTCTACTTTAATCAAAAGTTATAATTTTAAAGTTTCTTATGAGATTTAACTTACAGTATTTTTTTTAAAAAACATTTGAATCATTTTTAGCAAAAATACTCCTAATCATAGTTATTAAACTCGGATTGACCCGACGGGTCGACCTGGTGGCTAGACTGGTCTAGGTAAGTCAAAAGGCCAAGGTAATAAAAAACCTGGCAAAATCCGGTTGACTAGCCATGTTGATCTTGACCCAGTCGACCTGGCAAAACCAAGTTGAGACTCGATATTTTTTTTTTCAAATGTGTTTTTTCTCCTAGCAAAAGACTTATATATATATATATATATATATATAGTTGGTTATTAACCCTTTTTAAAATTCACTATATAAATATTAGAATAATATTTTATTTTTTCAATGTGGGACATGAAGTCTTTTAGTATATATATATATATATATATATATATATATATATATATTCTATATTCACAAGAAAACAAAAAACTTTAATGTGGGATTTGAAGCCCTTTAATATATATATTTTATATTCACAAAAAAAAATTATGTTTTTTCAATGTAGAATAGAAAAATCTTTTATTTTAAATACTTCAACTTAAAATAATAAGATACTAACATAGTATCTTTTCAATGTAAGATACATAACCTTTTAAAATAATATTTTAAATTTTATTATTTATAATATATATAGCATATATTCACATGAATTGTTTCTTAATATTTTCATATCAAATATTAAATCTTTGTTTTTTTTAAATTTTTCTAGGTCAACTCGGGTCAACCCCTGTAACCCGATTTCAACTCCAGGGTCGGGTGTAATAATTATGCTCCTATCATAAAATTATTGTAACTTATTTTTGTTAAAAATCGTTTACAAAAAACAACTTTCGAATTATAACTTACAATCTCGAAAGCTACTTTTCATAAATGATTCAAAACATATTCTAATCAATTCTCGATCATTTATTAGACAAAATGTTTAGATACTATTATTTCTGATAAAGCGTTGACCACACTTCACACTACTCGTTTGCCTTCAAAGGTTATATGTGATTTTCTCAATAAAGAACTTCATCGATAGCAGCAGTTGGGGTCATTCCATTCATCAAGAGCAGAGGAATCCAGAAACAGGAGAGCTTGGACTTTCTACAAACTCATAGGTGCATCTTACTATGCACTTGCTTCTACTTTGATCAAGAGCAGAGGAATCCAGAAACAGGATAGCTAAGTGGTACGACCTCAGTATGGAGTGTCCCAATCCAGTTGGACCAAAAGAGATGCAAATAATAAACTTGGGGAACAGGAAAAGAACAGAGCAAAAGTGACACTACAGGTAACGGGATAACAGGATTTATTAATTCTCAAAACTATAACTCGGGATTTATTAGGAAATCAAAATATTAAATTTTATTTTATCTTTGCAGCTTTATTATAAAAATTTAAAAAAAAAACACATTCACTTTTATTATATTTTTACACATACAACCATGTTTTCACATTACAAAATATCAAAAGTTCAAATCAGATCAAACAACAGTAGCAATCTAAATATACATTCACGTCTGAAAATTACATAAAGCCTAGGGAACAGTGTTGGAAAATTCCGAGCACCCTCTGTGATTGCAGAACAATAACAGCACGTCCTCTAAACAAGCGGCCGTCACGGTCCCTCTTCACTTTCCTTGCCAATGGTGACAGCCACCGTTACCTGCAAAAGAAGAAACACAACAAGTAGTCGATTTTAATTTTCCTTTTCCCTTTCAAATTTGTTCTCGGGTCTGTTTTTCTGCTCTGGTTTGTTGTTCTTCCTTCTTCCAGCGGTCTATCTGACAGTTGTAGAGAGAGCAGCGGGGGTGGTCAAGGCGTTGATGGTCTTCTCTCCTGTTGGTAGCAGCGGCGGTTGGACTTGTTGCTGTCGTCCGTGAGGCTTGTGAATCTCTGGTGAGGATGGCACTGCTGCAGCTAACGGTGAAGGAAATCGATGGAGGTCAATCTGTGCCGATGAGAGAAGATTTGTTGTGGTCGACGATGGAGAAGAAGAAGCTGAAGTCAATGGGGGACGGCCGGCTTGGGTTCTGTGAGAGGGAGCTGTTGCGGGGCAGATGGAGGTGCAGCAAAAGAAAAGGAAAATGAGGGCTGTCTTGGTTGAGAGGTTCCGTGCAGGGAGGATGAGGTTGTGGCTAAGAGGCTGTATTGTGGCCGGCCGGGAAAGGAAAATGTGTGGTGGTCGGGGGTGTGTGGGGACGAAGAAGAGAGGTGCTGGTCTTGGGAGCTGGGGAAATGGTGGGTGTTGGTGTGGCAGCTGCTCTGGCTAAGGGACTAGGGAATACTTTGTTGGTGTGGTTTGAAAGAGATCAAAAATTAGGTTTCTAGGATTTCTCCTTTTTTCTTCTGGCCACCAAAATTGGCCTCCACCCACTCTTTGTGAATTTTCTTCTCCCACCCCCTGTTCCTGTTTTTTTCTTCTTTATTTATACAGTCAAATGCTTAATAAAACATATGTATTTGATTTTTTATTTAAAAACGATCAATATAATGACGCCTCCATTAAAAAATCAATCATTTTAAAAATAATATATTAAAAATCAATCATGTTAAAAAAACTTTTAAATTTGTTTTAAACAACATTGAAAATACTAAAATTAATACAAATATATCAAGAATACATATTTATTATTTTTTGCTATTTTTAAATTTTCCAAAAACTTATAAAAAAATTATATCAAAAATCGGATATCAACAATATATAAATATAAATAGTAATTAAGATAGCCATGGAAGGAAAATGTCAAGCTAAATTGATTTGTCCTGCGTCAGATTGAATCACAGATGTTTCATTTTCCATCGAGTGTCTTAGTCACAAGAGAAAAGTAACTGAGGCATGGCCTCCCATAAAGAAGAGTCTGTTACAACGAAAACACAAGTAAATACTTAACTAAAGACAATAGCAGGTCTACTGACTCGTACGACCTTACAGACATTTTCAAAGGCCACCAATTGAACTCCCAGCCCTTGCTTTCAAATCCTTAAGTCCCTTGCTTTCTTCAATGATACAGTTGGTCCCCATTAACCTGTATCACAGATTAGTTAATATTTGTAATAACTCAATTTTGATCCCCTCAACTTTTATAAAATTCTCAAAAAAATTAAAACCAAAAGCTAAGAAAGTTCAACGTGAAAAAAACAAAGCATGTCATGAGTGCTCTTTACTGCTTACACGTACGTTTAGGAGAACTTATCTTTTGTAACCTGCTAGTAAGCCAAACAGAATATTCACCTCCTTAAGGGGTAGCAATATCGAGGCAGGTACTTCCTGGCTTCCTTAAAGAAGTCCTCCATGGTGCTCGGAAATGAGACATATAAAGGGAACTGCATTAGTGCAAATACTGTCACTGGAAGGAAAGCAGCAAACGAAATAAGACCCGTGGTCCATTTCTTTCTGAAATGAATTATTAGAAAAAGGGTGCAAGCAAAAGCAAGCATGGTTGTCATCACTGATAAGAAGAGTAAAGTGAAGCCCCATATCAGTTTCCGAGGAATATTGTGGTAGAAGTTCTCATATTCAAAAGGAGAGGTGAGGATAGAAAGGAACATCACAACTGAGGTCAAGGAGCTAGCCAAGGCGATAACATCCAAGATAGTGAAAGCTAAGAAGAAACGGTTGTGAAGGAAAATGGGAAAGCCACGTTCGTCAGAACCTCCAGGTATAGTGTAAGCGGCAGCGAAGACAACGGTGGCCAAAAGAACGGCTACTGCTGAGCATGACTGAGAGGTCTTCTCGATCCATTCTTGCGCCAACTTTAGTTGAGCTTTATGCTCCTCTTGGAAGAGCTCGAGTGCAGTCAATTCCTTCCCACGTTGCATTCCTTCATTGTCTGGCGGAACCTCCCTCGGTGCCCGCTGCTCAGACAGATAAGGTGGAACCGCCCTCTGCACCCGCTGCACGGACAGAGAACATGCAAACAAATTCATTAGTGTCGGTAAAGTCATTAATTACAGGAGAAGGGTTCCCTATGATGGACACGTATTCTCTTTTATTAAAGCAACAGAATGTACGTTAAAGTACACTCTTATTTATTGCAGGGCATAAAGAGCTGCGTTTCACTGATTTTGAAGCAAATGAGAATATGGGCAAGGAAAATCAACTTCGATTTCAGTTTGTTTTTGTGTATTGGTTGGGAATTAGTTGACTGATTGAGAAATAATTCATTGGTTAAGTTGGTAAAATTATTGTTTTTATTCAGATAAGATTTTATTTTTATTAATTTTATTTTTTATTTGTTTAGGATTTTAAGCTTATAAATACATTTGTAATCAGAATCATTATTTAATAATAAATAATATAGAGAGTAATATTAAAAAAAGAAACATTTAATAAAGTTTATTAAAATATCTCAAAAGTTTTTTCTTGATCTTGAGTTTGCTATTTAGTATTGTTCTCGATGAGCTTAATTAAAAACATTCTTTAATTTTTCCTAATAAATGAATACTACTCGTAGCTAGGAATAAAGAATTGTATTGTTAAAAGTAAACTAAATTTCTAAAGAATTAGTCGTACTAGTTAACTAGTTGGGAACTTGTCAACTAGTTGAATTAAGACAACCAAATTAAATTAAATAAATTAATCAACTGGTTCAAAAAACAATTAACTGGTTGAGTCAATAAAATACTTTTTCTTATTAACTTAGGTTTTCCTTTTGTTAATTTAAATTTTTTATTATCTAGGATTTTATACCTATAAATAAGCTTGTAATCATAACATAAGAGATGTATATAGAAGAGCTTATGGAGTATATCTTTGAGAAAATACTTAATGAAAAACATCATTTCTCTTAAATTTATGTTGTTCTTTAGTTTTGCTTTTTAGCGATTAGTTTCTACCACACCTAGAGTTTATTCCAAGAAGTGGTATCAGAGCTTGTGTTTGATTATTTGATATAGCTAATACAAACATCTCACTTCAATGTATTTGTTGACAAATGATAACTATGAAATTTAGTATATCCAAGTGAAAGCTTTACTAGGTTCCTAAAATGTATGAGAAATAATTGAAAAGGGCTTTAAAAGGACTATGAAAAGAGTAACGTTGACTTCATCCTAAAAGGAGACCATATAAAATGCATGAAGAAAGGATTAACAAGAACTCACAATCTCTTTCGCAACCACCACTAAGTTGTTATATAAAGGTTTGCAACTATTAAACCAAGAAGCTGACAATATAAGAAAGATATGTCTATAAAATTTATAAAGTGACTTTAAAAAGTTGTATATGCTTAAAGTGAAGAATATTAGCCAGATATAATAAAAGAGAGAGAGAGAGAGAGAGAGAATATAAAGTGATATCAAAGAGAGAAACACTTAATAATGTATGCCTCTCTCAATCTTCTTCTTGTTCTTGAGTTTTACAACTTAATATTGATGCCCATAAGCTTCTACTACACCTGATTTACTTCCAACAAGTAGTATATACTCTCCGAGGAGATGGTTGAACACATGTGGCAAAAAAGATTCTATGCTCGTTGCAAAAGAGATTCCATTATGTGATGATTGTGATAGAGAAATAATAAAACATGGATTTTCTTAAAATTCAAGATCTCATGGGTAAACTACAAGCCTATGAAAAAAGAGTCAATGAAATTCAAGAAGATATCATAAACACTCCTCAAAATTCTTTACAAAAGAGAAGTAAGATGGTTTTGAATATACCCAAAGAAGCAGACGACATGGACAAAGCAGAAAAAGATGAGGAAAGGGTAAATTTAGAAGAGGAAGCCATGATAGCCATAATAGGTCCAGTCAACCAAATAAAGCAAATACATCAACCTATTCGACTTATAGTAGCAATCCGAGACCCAATCTAACAAAACAGAAGTTAAGTGTTATAGATGTTAAAAACAATTAGTCATTATTCTAGGGATTATTAGAATCCAACTAAGAGAGTTGAAGAGAATGTCAATCTTGTGATAAAATAGGAGAAAAAAACTATTATATTACTAGTCTATAATGAACGAATGCAAGCTAGAAAACATATGGATTTTGACAATGGTGCCAATAATCACATGTGTTAAGAAAAAGGCAAATTCATGGAGCTTGATGAATTAATTAGAGGTAATGTCACCTTTGTAGATCATTTAAAGGTTTCCACCAAAGAGAAATGTATGATTTTGATTCAAATGAAAGATGATAATCATCAATTTATTGGTAATGTTTATTATATCCCAACTATAATAAAGCAATATATTAGGTTTGTGACAATTATTGATTTTTTTTTAGAATTAAGATGAAAGATTGTACTTTGATATTATTTGATAATCATGGAGTTCTGATAAGGTAACCATGAGAAAGAACAAAATATTTTTGCTAAACATAAAGACAAATATGCCTAAAGGCATGTGTGAAAAATGAGACTTGGATTTGGCATATGAGACTTGGGCATTTAAACATTGATAACACAAAAAAAAATGTTAAAAGGTCTACCATTAATTGAACATCTAAATCAATTGTATAATAGATGTTTAGTGGACAAACTATTTCATAAAAGCTTTCTAAAGGAATCTATATCAAAAGAAAATTAACCCCTACAAGAGATACATGCAGATGTATGTGGTCCTATTTAACAATGCTTGTTTGGTTTAAAATTATCCTCTCTATTTTTTATTGATGATTATAGTAGAAAAATATAGTTATACTTCTTAAAAGAAAAGTCTAGTGTATATAAATGTTTTAAGAAATTTAAGGTATTAGTTGAAAAGAATAGTGATTATTTTATAAAATCATTTATAACAAATAAGGGATGAATTTTATTCTAATGAGTTTAATGAGTTTTGTGAAAATAGTGGTGCAAAAAGATTCCTAATAGTGCCTAGATCTTTACAACAAAATAAAATGATAAAAGAAAGAATAGAAGCATCCTCAACATTATAAGAACCATCCTCAAAACAAAAAGGATACCTAAAGAGTTTTGAGTTGTTTACTTGTCAAAAAGGAGTCCTATTATAAGCTTGAATGTCATGACTCTACAAAAGGCATGGAATGGAAGAAAGTTAAGTGTTACTCATTTGAAGATATTTTTTAGCATTGGCTATTTGCATGTAGATGATCAAATAACAACTAAGCTAGATGATAATAGCAAAAAGATAATCTTTATGGTCTATTATCAAAAGTATAAAGGATACAACCTTTACAACCCCAATGAACAAAAGATTGTGATTAGTATAGCTGTTGCGTTCAATGAAAAAGAAGCATGAGATTAGAAAGTAAATAATGGTTAGAAGACTTTTTATCGATTCTTGATGAAAAAAGAGAGAGACATGAAGATCATTAAGAAACTATAGTTACACCTCCATGAACACCGATGAACATAAATGAAGGTAACTTTACCTTCATCTTTTTTTTCTTATGGAAGTTCAAGTAATGGTAGCCCATAAAGTCTACCAATAAAAATAGGGAGCCTTAATGACATATATGAGGTAACTAATCTTATAAATGATGATGTAACATTATATTATCACCTTGCTATATGTGATCCTATAGTATTTGAAGAAGAAATAAAGGATGAAAAATGAATAATGATTATAGATGAAGAGATTGCATCAATTGAGAAAATGACACATGAAAATTGGTTTCTAGACCTAAAAGAAAGAAGCAAATGGATATCAAGTGGACCTACAAAGAAAAGAAAAATGTCAAAGGAGAAGTAAAAAGGTATAAGGTAAAGTTAGTGGTAAAATGTTATAGTAAAAAACATGAGATTAATAATTGCCATAACTACCCAATATAAATGGGAAATCTACCAAATAGAAGTCCAATCAACCTTTCTAAATGGTTTTCTTGAAGAAAAAGTCTATATTGAGCAACCTATAGGTTATGAAGTGAAAGGACTTAAAGATAATTTTAAAGTAGAACAAGACCTTTTTTGGATTGAAGTAAGCCCAAGAGCTTGGTATAATCACATTGATAGATATTTTTTAAAGAATGGATTTGGTAGATTATCCCATGAATATATTATATATGTGAAGATAGAAGAGAGTGGTGATACTCTTATTATATGTTTGCATGTGTATGACTTGATTTTTTTAGGAAATAATCCAAAAATATTTAGAGATTTTAAACAAGCAATGATCAAAGAATTCGAGATGACAAACATTGGTCTTATGACATACTATCTAAGGATTAAGATCAAACAAGGAGAATATAATATCATTGTAAGTTAAGAGAAGTTTGAAAAAGAGATTTCTAAGTTTAAGATGGAGGATTGTACAAAAGTGAATACTTTAGTTAAGTATGGAGTGAAGTTGTCAAAGAATAATAAAAGAGAAGAGGTAAATTCTACAACATTCAAAAGCCCAATTAGAAGCTTGAGATATTTGACATGCATTTATCTAGATATTTATTTTAGAATAGAATTGTGAGTAGGTTTATGAAAATACCAACTACGACACACTTCAAATATTTGAAGTGAGTTCTTTGATATATCAAATGTACTATTAATTTTGGCTTATTCTATAGATATTCTAACAACTTTGAACTTGTGGGTTATAATAATAGTGATTGGGTTAGAGATATGAATGATAAAAAAAGCATTACAAGTTCTGTTTTCTATATGGAAAACATAACATTCATATGAAGTTCAAAAAAATAATCTATAGTCATATTATCAACTTATAAAGCTGAATATATAGTTGTTACAACATGTCTTTGTCGTTCCATATGGCTAAAAAGATTATTGAAAGAGTTATGAATATCACAAGAGAAACCCACAAAAATTTATGTAGATAACTCATCAACCATTATCTTAGCTAAAGATCCAGTTTTTCATAACAGAAGTAAGCACATTGACACAAGATTTCATTACCTATGAAATTACATTATAAATAAGAAAGTTGAAGTCAAGTATGTTAAGAATCAAGATCAACCACTCAAATATGATGTTTTTATCAAGACGAGAGATTTATTAGGAGTTATAAAAAAATAAAGTTAAGGGAGGATGTTAAAAGTAAATTAGATTTCTAAAGAATTAATTGGACTAGTCGATCAGTTAAGAATCAATCAACTAATTAGAATAAAACAATTAGATTGAATTATATGAATCGGTCAACTATTTCAGAAAACGATCAATTGGTTGAGTCAGTGGAATAATTTTTCTTATCAATTGAGGTTTTCCTCTTGTTAATTTAATTTCTTGATTATTTAGGATTTTTTATCTATAAATAGGCTTATAATTAGAATGTGATAAATGCATGTAAAAGAGCTTCAAAGTAACTTTGAGGAAACACTTAATGAAAAACATTATTTCTCTCAAATATTTCTTCTCGTTTAATTTTGCTCTTTAGGGATTAGCTTCTACTACACCTAGAGTTTCTTCCAACATGTATCTCATAAAAATATGGCAACGGGTTACGATAGAGTAGTTAACTCACCTTGAACCATTGTATTTCTTCTTGTAGCTTGAGTGCAGGGCCGGCCCTGGTTCCTCCACGGTAGTGCTTCATGTGTGCAACGTGGTGTAACAATGTGTAGCCATTATTATCGATCCTCGAACTCAGCCTGACCATAATTGGTTTGAACTTTTTCTTTACATAACGGTAAATCTCCCGCTGTCGATGCATCACAGCTACATGCATTATGTTCTGTCCTGTTTCATTAACAAGCTCAACACCCTGAGGAAATTTTTCTAGTATTTCTTTAGCAATCTCTTCTATTCCACTACTAATTGCTATAAACAACGGGATTGGGTCTCCTCCTTGTCCTCTTCCTCCTTGACCAGGGGTTTCGATATTAACTTTGTTAGAATCTGCTACATTGATAGATTGCCACCAATGACGCTTGTTCTTTTCTATAAGCTCCTGGGCAAGTTTCAATGCAGATTCATGCTTGTCCTTTTCTTCTTGGATTCTTCCCACCTTCCATCCTATCATGTTTCTCCATATGTGAGATATACAGAGAGGGATCTATAATGAATTTTCTGCAAATATGAACAGAGTATACGAGAAAATAATACAAATGCTCAATTTTGGTGAGATGTGTCCAAATTTCTACTCCTAAGTCAATTTTCCGGTGTTTCTCAATTTTCAATACAGACTTATATTACGTAATTTATTTTATTTTTTGACTAGTTCGTGGTGAGCTACTGAAGCAATAAATAAATAGTGAAAAGGTAATGAGTGATTTAGTTTAACCATAACCATAACCAAATTTAAATGCAACAACTTTAATAATTCGAAATATGGATTGGACAAAAACACCCTCCACTAAAAGTCTTCCATAATCAGAGGTTCGTTTACTTGTATTGAGAAAGCTTTAGAGGTAAGCTTTAATCCTTTACTAGATAATTTAGAATCCCAGGCTTCGGAAATAATTGGATTTGGTGCTGCTTCAAGAAGAGATCTTGTGGCATCAAAAGTCATTAGTTTGGGAGACAGAAATACCAAATGGTAACATGCTCTTACTGTTGAATTCTGCTGATGGAAGCTGGTGTACTGATCTAGATGTTTTGAAGATCAAGGCTATAGACTATTATAAATAGTAGTTGATTAAGGATTCTCCTTTGGTCTTAGGTGCATGTGTTTCGGATATTTTCCTGCTCTTTCCTCTAGTGATCTCCTCACTCTTACCAGGCCTATCACTAATGATGAAGTAGAAAGGGTAATATTTCTATGGATTCGTATAAAGCACCTGCATTGCATGGACTTCAGCATTTTTTATTTTTTTTAATCAAAGCTAATGGGATATTATTGGTCGTTCTTTGTTTTCTTTTATTCGGAGGTTGTTTCAGCACGGGATATGAGTTATGCATCCATTATTGTTCCTGTGAATATTTTTTTTTTTCTCGTTTGAGTAACACTCATTGTTGACAATTAAGCAAATCCGATACGCTCAAGTAGTGAAGGAAAAAATCTGTGAATAAAAATCTTGCAAACCAAATAATTGAAATAAAAAACTAATCAAGAAAGTCATCTTCACCCTCTTATGTCTACTTCAATCCAGTCCAATCTACAGTTGAACTCCAAGAATTAAGTAACCAATAGATTCAGTTGTACACAAGTCAACACGATCTTGCAGTAGCTTTACTAGAAAATAAAGCAGCGTACTAAAACTGACAGATAATGGAGTTTGGAATCTTAAGGTTCTTGCACTCAAGATTCCTAAAATACTGTGGGATTGGTCGTCCTAAAAGGTCTTTCTTTTTCAGCATCAACAAGGGAAAACCACTCTTCATTTGGTCTGTCCTTTTCCTCCTTGACCTCCAAGCCTTCAGAACTTGGATATAGATATTATTCATTTGCAAATATTTCCTCACAAGTAGGTCCCTTAGTTGATGCTTCTTTCCGTGTTTTTGTTAGTGCTTATTTCTAAGTTTGATGCCCCTCAAACTATTGGCCAATAGATCTCTGTAATACTCCTACAAGACACCCACTAAAGTCATTGTGAATAGGATTAACCCAACCCTTCCATTTAGTTTCGTGCTTGGGAGACACATCAATGACAACATTATCATTTCTCAGGAGGTTGAGGAAAGGTTTGATGGAAATCAAAATTGATTTAGAGAAGCATATGTCCCGCTGCCATGAGATTTTGAGCTTGTGCGGTATTGTATTAGTTGTTGTTTTTTAAATTATTTTTTTATTTAAAAATATATTAAAATAATATTTATATTTTTTAAAATTCATTTTTGATATTAGCATATTAAAATCATCTAAAAACACATAAAAAAAATTTAAAGTAAAAATAAATAAATAAATATTCAATTTTTTTACAAAAACTTTTAAAATGCAAAAAACAAACAAGTTTGTTATCATCCTTTATAAGAGCTCTTTTCAATCCATGAGCTTTGCTACTACTCAGTTTCTGCCAACTCCAACCCAATCTTCTTCAGCTTTTGTTGCACAATATCTTCGACCCTCTGGTTCTTCTAACAGTGGCTTCAATTCTCACCGTTGTAGGGGGTGGTTTTGTGCTAGCATAACAACAACCAAAACTTTAATAATGGTTTTGGATATCGTGGATATAATGGTTCTCACATCAACAATTGGTAGTAGGGGAATGGGCAACATGGCAGCTGGTTTTCAAGCTCTCAACAGTGGTCCAATACACAGTTTGTTAGGTGCCAGCTTTGTTATTCTTTTGGTCACTCAACACCTCAATGCTCTCAGCTTGCAGGTCATGAACAATATGCCAATGCTAACCTTGCTCTTAGCAATGTCTTTATGGAAAGTTCCGTGGATTGGTTTCTAGACATCGGTGTGAATCAACATGTCAATGGGTTCAGAACTATACCTTAGTAATGATCATTTGTTTGTTGGTGATAAAAAGCTACTTGTATCCTATATTGATCATACAAAATTATGTACTTGCATATGGACTTTCACTTTATCTAATATTCTTCGTGTGCTTAATATCAAAAAGTTTGCTTTTTATTTAAAAATTGTCTTAACAAATGTGTTTTTTTAATTTTACACTTGGACTTTTATGTTAAGGATCTTACCACCAAAACAATGCTCATTTCCAATCAAAGTAAAATGATCTCTATGTTTTGTTTGAGTCTTCCACCACTTCAATTCCCCAAGTTCATTGGTTTGCTTGTGTTTTTACCTTTGTTGATATCTAACATCGTGGATTGGATCATCCTACTCCTTGTGTTTTAAATTTTTTGGTGTCAAATAATAAAATTGTTTGTAACCCTATACATTTCAATTTTCAATGTCAAGAATGTTTGTTAGGGAAGTTATCATGTTTATCTTTAGGACCTATAGGTCACAACACTTCCACTCCTATGATTTAGTTTATAGTGATGTTTGGAACCTTACTCCTATGTTTTCCTCTTATGTTGTTTTTGTTATTTTATCATTTTCATGGATGCTCATATAAAATATATTTGGTTTTATCCTCTTGTTGTGAAATCTAATGTATTCTCTATTTTCATTGTTTTTCAAGCTTTCATTGAATGCTAATTTTAACATTAAATTACATATGTTTAGATTAATGAGGTGGTGAATATAAAAAATTAAACACTTTCTTCCAGGCCATTAGTATTCATCACCGCTTAACATGTTCTCATACTTATGAATAAAATAACACTCTTAAACGTTGTCATAAGCATATTATTAAAATTTATCTTATTATTCTAGATCAATGTAAAGCAATCTTACAATTTTGGAATTATGCATTTGAAACTTCTATATATCATTAATCATATGCCAAATCTTGTGCTACAAAATAAATCACCTTTTGACTCCTAATTATGATTTTTTTATGTATGTATGAGTGTCTCTACTTCTATTTCTTCGTCTATATAATACTCATAAGTTATATTTTTGTTTTTCTCCATGTGTGTTTTAGGGTTATAACTCCTCTCACATTGGTTATTGTTGTCTAGAGATGTCGTCTCAATGTATTTACATTTTGATTTCATGAATATATTTTTTTGTTGATAAATTTGAACAGATGGCTATGCCTTCCACACCCTCTCCCTGCTATACTGTCACTGCCAGCCTACCCAATTTGCTTAACTCTCTTACCTTTTAACTCCCCTATCTCTACAGCTCACTCCCTACCCGTGCTGCTCCCTTACTTGCCTCATTACCCTTGCCTAACAGCCTTGCTGCTATGTCACCTCATGCATCTTTATCTAACATTCATTCTCCAGGTACAAGTTCTATTCAATCAGGATGTCATTTGCAGGTTATGATACTACTGCTCCACCTAGTTTTGTTGCTTCCCTGTCTGCCTCGTTGTCTGATTCTCCAACAGGGTTGAACTTTGTTATTAACCTATATTCTTATCCTCTACACCAAACTTCGAGGTCAGACTTACCCTTGTCTATTTTGGTCTCTTGTCAGGACCCTGTGGTTCTCCATTCTAGGCATTAATAGTGTCGCTACACGACGTCGGGCGACGGCTCCACTTCTTTTTTGTTTGTTTTGTTTTTTTTTAAACAAAAGGAATTTAGTTTTTATTTGATTGGGGGAAATAAAGATTTTATTAGAGTTACCATCTATTAATTTGAGGGAACTAGAAATCCAAAATTAGACACTGGTCCCAGAGATGCAGGTACTGAGTTAGTTATGATTAAGGGAAGGTAGACACCACTCTTAAAACATCCTTTCAGAGAAAGGTTACCTTTACTTGTGTGTTTTTCTTATTTGATTCAAATGCTATTACATTTTGAGTTTATTTGTAAATTTTTAACAGGGTTAACGTCGGTCCTTAAAAATAGGAAACACGTTAGAAATGACATCAGTCCCTAAAATTAGGAGACTTTGTCTAAAATGTCGACGTTTATCCCTAAAAAGGAGAGTTACGTCTAATTTACCAAAATAAATAATAAATGGATATAATCCATATTTGGTATTTAATTTTTTTGACATCGGTTCTTTTTCTGTAAATAAAAGAGACGTG